GGCGCGCGGAGTGGGCCGGGCTGCAGACCGGAAGGCCGGCTCTGCTACGTGGCGGCCTCTCGCAGGCTCCGCGCTCGCGGCCGAGCAGCCTGGGCGGGCAGGACCCTGCCTCGCACCCGGACCCGCCTGTCCCTCCGGGTTTACTCCCGCTAGGACTGGACTTTTATATTAAAAGGTGGATTTAAGCATGGCCAGCTTCAGTCAGTGATGCAGCGGGCGCTCTCGGAGACGCCGGCCTCCCACGACAGGGCGTCCCTCCTGCGATGGGTTCCCCTTCCTCCCCGCCACGTGAGCCGCCCAGCCCCTGGCCCGAGTCGTCCCTGAGCGAGCGGGTGCTCCTGGCCGCAGCTCGGGCTGCCCGGGAGGGCCAGCCAGTTCAGCCTCCAGCTTGGGCGCGGGCGCTGGGTGTGTTTTGGCGACAGCCGTATCCCCGGCACCTTGCGCTGCGTACTTAGGTGCACACCAGACGTTTAAGCTACACAACATAGCCTGCAGACACGTTCAGGAATCAGCCGTGGGTCGGAACCCCGGCCCCACTACTAACCAGCTCAGGGGAGGGCTTAACCTCTCTAAGCATTAGTTTACCGTCTCTGAAATGGGGGTGCCTTCTGAATGGCGTTTTGAAGATTATCTCTAATATTTATTGATCATTTCCTTTCTATCAGGCATCATTTTTAGGGCTTTGCCTTTTTTCACCGAATCCCCACAACAACTTACTGAGGCATGTAAATTATTATCCCCGTTCTGTATGTGAGGAAACTGACCCTCAGAGAGGTTAAGTAAGTTTCCGAAGGTCACACCGTTGGACAGGCAGTGCGCTAGGAGGCAGAGTCAGGTATCAGACTCAGGCAGCTGGCTAAAGCTGCTTCTGAAGTGTGTGGGTCTTAGCATAGTGCCGGGCACTGCTGAGTGCCCAGCGAAAGGGAGCCATTGGTGTTTATTAACAAACACGTGGGGGATGGAGTGGAAGGTTCCTGATTCTTTTTGAAACAAGTGAAATGACGGAATTTTGTACTGTTCACTGTGCATTCATTCGTTCAATCTTTATTCAACAGTTCTGCAAACATTGCCCAGATGCAAGGAGGGTGGGTGTTGGGGACCAAATGACTCAGGGTTCATCATGCTCCTTGGATCCTGTTTGGGGGCAAGGAGCAAAGAGCCATTCAAGTGAATTTAAGGGAGAAAATTTCCCTGTAGAGACCTGGGCAGTGGGAGGAGCTGTGCAGCCTCGGGGACCAGAGGTTGCCAGGCACCTGGGCCTGCGGTCACTCCTCTGCCACCCTGTTCCCCACTTCCCTGCAGACTGACTGTGCCCTAGAGGCTCTGCCCCTCGGCTCCCCCAAAAGCAGTGTGCAGCTGACTCTGGGTTGCCATGGTAACAACCCGGGCACTAATTTTATATGTTTATCGGTTCTTACCATTCTGGAGTCTGCATTCTCTGATTGTAGTTGGGTCTTTCTGAGTTTAAATCCTATCCCTTCCTCCTCCCACCAAGGGGTGGGCTCATCTGTGTGAGATCTGACTGCCTGCTGCTCCATCCTCAGCAAGGAGGGGGACACTGCCGAAAAAGAGTAGGAAAGCGTCCTCATAGTGTCTACTATGAGCAGACTAAGGGACAGGGCACTGCCAAGCATCCCTTTCAGATGACTATTCTACACTATTTTTATTTTGTCATCTTATATCCCTTTCCCCAAGACTGTTAATAATAAGCCACGAGGATGTCCCAAAGTATATTTCCAACTTTGTCATTGCCGGTTTCCTTCACAACCAGCTTTTCTGGGCAGACCGGTCTAATCTGCCAATGGGTCATGCCAGCTTCCTTACTGCCCCCAAACTTCTGCTCACACTTTCCAGAAAACCCTCCTTTCCAACTCTTAGCCCTTAAAACCCAGCTCAAGTTCCTCTAAGAACTTCCCAGACGATTCCAGCCTGCAGTGTTTAGGATCTTCTGAGTGTGTCTCCCACTCATTTGGTCATCTCCTGTATTATTGTAAGGAAAAGTTAGTGAAAACTCTCAAATGGATGAGAGAAATAAAAAGATCACTGGTGTCCTGTCTGGGCCCCCTTCCAGGTTCTCTCTGCCTGTCACTGTCTTTGAGCTATTTTACAACTCTGTAAGTTGCTGAAAACCAGCAATAATGCCCATGACCTGTGTTCAGAGAAATGTACATTAATCTGGTCCATTAATAATCCAACTGATTATTGCCCTGTGGATAGACTTCTTCTGCACCGATGCGTAAAGTGATTCCAGCATTCTGATTACCTCTACCTGCATGATTCTTGGAATTCCCCTTTGAACCACTTGGAACACCTCAGTTGTTTTCCTCATTAATGAATGAGTTAATAGAACCTTTATAATTTGATGAGAGTCATACTTTTACCTCCATCCCCCAAATTATTCTTTGATATTATTTAACTCTTGAATGAAAAAAGAATGGTTTGGCTCACTTTCAGTCAGTGTTTTGGGGGAGCGAGCCACAGAAGTCAACTGTAGCTAGCTTTAAGCAAGAAAAGAATCTATTGAGAGATTGTTGGCTGGCTTGAGAATCTAAAGAGAACCCGGAGTTGTGGGCTTGGAAAGTGGACTGGGGCCGTGGGTGGCTTGGTGGCAGGACTACGGGCAAAGGCACGGGATGGGCTGGCTTGGAAACCACCATGGACATGGCCACTGCTGGACGTCGCTGCTAATGGCCTCCAGCTTCTGCCTCGACCCCCAGCGGCTGCTGCCACAGTGTGAACACTGGCTGGTTCCTGCGTGTTCTCATCTCTTGCTCAGCACTGGGAGTCCTGGGCAGAATTATCCTGTTGTCTGAGCCAAGGCCCATGCCCTCCCCCCGGCCTCTGGTCTGAAAGGCAGGGACCTACCATCCTCCAAGATTCAAACAGTGGGAGCACCTCCCCCGGTAAGAAAAGGGCTGCCCCCAAATGACAACTGTCTACCAGTCTTTTCTTGAAACTAAATTGTGAGGTCTGGCAGTATCATCACAAAGTCCTCACATTCCTTTTTCAGACGGTGCGGGGACCACTCAGGGGCCAGGTCTCCCAGGCCTGATGGAGACTTTATGAGGAGGCTGGGAGAATATGGAATTAGAGCATGTCCTAGCTGGACGGGTCACAGACGTCACCTCGCCCGGTCCTCTCTCAGGGTCACTGAGCTGTCTGAGCTGGAGGCTCTGTGTGGCCGTGGATAGTCCCAGCCTCGCGCTTTGGGGATTGTCCGTCAAATGCTCATGAACTGGGGCACGCCCGCTCACCCCCAAATCTGGTTATTGTCACCAGTGGGAGGGAGCAGCGGTCGGCTAATTTAAAACAGAGCACCCCGAGTCGCGTGTGGTTCCTGGGCCGCTTCCCAGCTCTGTTGGCAGCAGACTTCTCTTCCGCAGTGGTTTGCTGACGTGGCTGCTTGCGGGCGGCCCGGAGGCACAATTTTCTGAAGATCTGTTTGCAAAACTGCAGCCCTGCCCTTGAGAACCCTCTGCATATCGCGGCTGTGAAGAGATGGGAGTGCAGGGCCAAGGGCGGCCTTCCGGCGGGCCAGCCAACATCCCTGGGAGGCCCACGGCTTTGTCCACGCACTAAGGAGCCGAGGCTGTGTCATGTCCCCTCTTGTCATGGTCCTTTGGGGGAAAACGGGTTCCTGTCTTTGCTGAGCTTCCTTCTCCCTCTCCCGTTTCTTCCCCATCTCATCCTGATTTCCAGAAGGAAGGAAACAGCCTGGGACTCAGGGGTGCACATGTGGCCACTGGGCTTCCCTGACCCCCAAGACTTGGAGAGATGAGGGTACTCCCCCCACGGCCATCGGCTCTAGCCCTGGACTGGAGTGGTCTCCAGTGGGGTTGGGGGTTCTGGCAGACAGGGAGGCCCTTGGGGTTCAGCGGAGGTGCCCCTGCCGGGAGAGGGGAGGTGTCTGGCTCCATCACTGTCCAGGCAGCTTTCTCCTCTCCACCCAGGCCCCCTCCCAACTCCAGAGGGACCCAGCCCCCTGGCAGCCCTCACCACCCCTCCCTTCTCTCTGCTGCTATCAGTCAGACCCCGGTTCATATCGCCCCTCTGCCACTTACTGGGTCACTGCGGGCAAGTTCCTTCCCATCCCCGAGACTCAGTTTCCTCATCTGTAAAATGATGATGACAATAAGACTCGTCTCAAACACAAGGCAGGCATAGAAAGTGCTTACCGGACCGCTGCTGGGCTGTTTCATGTGCTTTCATCGTCTTTGCTAGTTGGATCAGCTGATGACTCTCTTTCTCTTGCCTTTTGGTTTCTCGCAGAGTGTGGGTGCCTGGTGGGTGTTCGAAGAGTTGTTGGCGGAGGTGGTGGGGAAGGGGACTGACCCTGTTGGGCGCTGCCTGGTGTCTGCCGCATTCTACTTACTCTTCATCATGTGCCACTAGGTGGAGATCATACCCAGCTTACAGACGGTGACATTGAGGCTGAGAGTGCAAAGAGGCAGTGTCTTCCTAGAACCCCTGGCTGAATTCTGTTCTCCCTAACTCTTCTCTCTAGTTCTTCTGCTTCATCAGTCTGCAAACACCCAAGAGTGGTTGATTAGCAAGAGAGAAAAGAAAAAGGGAGTCAAGATTTTCTATTTTATCTTGTGTTTAAAAGTCTTGCAGACATTTGCTTGCCTGTCTGAAATGGTCTTGAGCCTGGTTTTGGGAAGGAGCCCCAGATCCTTGCATTTCCTTGTACACATTTTCAGCTGGAGGGGTGGCGGCTGCCCCTCACTCCCTTAGTTCTCAGGAAAGCTGGGGGAGTAGAGAGAGGGCCCTGCTGGGTCAGCTGGGGCTTTTCTCTCCCCAGGGTTTCCAGACTGGTGGGGGTTCTACCAGCTATGGGCACAGCCCTTACCCGTCAGGGGTGGCTGTGTGCTTGGGGTGCGGGCCGGTGTGCACATCCTGGAGTCACACCCACCGCTGTCACTCCACTGCTCTTTGAGTCACTCAGAGCCTCAGTTTCTCCATCTGTAAAACAGGAATGATAACAGAACCCACCTCAGTGATGGCTGTGAAAGGTAGATGTGTATATGAAACACATAGATACACTGAATTTCCCCACCCCCCAGGCAATCCCTGGAATTAGGGGCTCCTTACGTTCAAGAAAGATCACACACATTCTTTCATGTAGTGGGGGCACCCTCAATTATTATTATTTGTTTAACAAACAAGAGCCGTTTGGGTGAGATACGTTACCAGAAACAAACTCCATAGGGTCGTTTTGGCCATTTGCTAAGGTCGTCTGAGGAACTGCTGAATGAAAAGGAGGCTGGCAAGTTTAACCCAGATGTGGAACCGATTCTGTGGTGTCATAGGTTGCAATGTGAGCGTGAACAGACCTTTTGAGGACACTTAAGAAAGCTGCAGCCAGCCAGTGGCTGCAGGATGGAGAACAGGCACTGACACCTCCGGATGAAGGGACCACCAGCTGCCTAATGTTATGCAAATAGGTTTTCGAGGCTTGGGATAAAAATTCCAGTGAAAGCATCCTACAGATTCCAAAAATGCTGTATCCACTGCTGGGAACCAAGATGGGAGGGAAGAAGATGTGCTCAGAAAACTCAGATGACTCAAAGGGTGGCTTTGATGATGGCAGAGACCCTGAGTGCACAGATGAGTTGGAAGGGGTGGCAAGAGATTGAGTCGTGGAATGAGGATGAAGACAGCAACTCTTCTCAATTAACATACAGTTATACTAACGTGATCGTAGGCATGAATGACAAGTCATAAGTTAATTGTTTAAATAGACATTTAACTATTTCACCTACTTAAAAAAAGATTACATATTCAATCAGGTCGCACATCCTTTGGGTCTTTTGAGTGGGGAAATAAGGAATCATCGTATTTTGGGGTTTGTTATTTGGGTGCTGTCGGTGCCCTTTCTCCCCCAACATCCCCTTTCCAGAAGGCCCCACTCTATCCCTTGTGACTCTCTGCCCCAGGGCCACCTCTGGCTGCCTGCACTAGGGGTGACTACCAGGGCCAGGAATTGATACCCCAGGAGCAGCCCTCACTCTGTGACTGATGGGCTGGGGTATAAATCCCCCAGCTCCCTCGTCCCTTGAACAAGTCGATGCTGGAGCGTGTGCTCTGCACCTGCCCCCACAGTTCCCGGGGGGGTTACGATCCTGGTGCCCCAGTGGTAACCTGCTTGACAGCCCAAACTTTATAGGCTGTTACTTTCCTTCTCCCTGGTGCCTCCAGGATTCCCTCCAAACGAAGTAAGTTGACGAGGATGCTTGTCTCAGGTCTGCCTCTGGGGAAATCGAACCTACAGCAAGCGCATAGGAGGCAGAAGAGCGCCGTTATTATCACCCACCATTACTTTGATAAAGATCAGGAAAATACAGTTCCTGCTTTGTGCCCTCTTTCCCCAGAGCTGGGGGAGCCAGGCCAGGGGTCTCTTTTAGGTCTGGTTGGGAAAGGGGAGGTCTGACTATATATTTATCTCAAAGCAATCTCAAAGTGATATCCTCTCTCTCTATATCAACTATATGCCTGAGTAGCTAAGCCAAAAAGCAGTCCATCCAGAGCAATTAAAAGCTTCCTTTGCCAGACCTTGGGGATTTCTCTCTGATCAATGAGAAAAACACCGCAGCTGGAAGACAGCCGAAACCAAGAACAGGGCAACTGTGTGCTGTTCAGATGAGCTAGAACACTATTAAAATTTGTTTTTAAAAAATCTTTTTATTTTCCAGTATAGGATGGGAGAGGGATGTCATACAAAGGACTAGAAGTTTTTCATTAGTTTTCCAGCCCGTTTTTCCCCAAATCGGAATTTATTTGTGAAAACCTGTATTGGGCTCATGAACCATGGTATTATTATATTTATGATAATATGTGATATTTATATTATTAAACATTGTATTTATAACTATATTTATAATGAATGATACAGTAATAGCAGGGATCTTGTAACTCTAGTTACAACGTGCTGGTCACCTGCTAAGAACATCAGGTTTATCTCAGCTGACCCTAGTGATACTATGAAGAGGTCACTGTTATCATCACTTTTTATTGATCAGCTACTCAGGCTCAGAGAAGTTAAGTAGCTTGCCTGAGACCACACAGCCAGGAAGTAGCAGAGTGGTTACAAACGCAGGCAGTCCAGCTTCAAAGCCTGGGTTCTTCACAGTGGGAAAAGCAACCTGGCTTTCACACCAGAAGAAGAGAAGGGACCGACTTGCTTGGCCGACGTCATTGCCAAGGGCGGGCTCACCCCGACTTGCCTTCCCCAAACAAGCTGAAACAAGGTGGATGTTGAATCTCATGCCATTCCTCCCTGCCACTCTCTGCTGCAAAGAAGTCGGAGAGTTTTACAAATTGGGTTTCCCCAGGTCCCAGCTGCCTGTGGCTGCAGAAGGAGCCCCTAGGAGACAGCTTTGTGTCCACAAATAAGCCAGTTCCCCCTGGAGCCCATGCTGTGCTGGGAGCACTTGAGCGATTGCTTCTTGACAAACAGGGTGAATGCAGAAAACACCCCATGCTGGCTCCTGGAAGAGGCTGGGGGGCCCACGGAACAGGGAGTGGATGAACAAGGAAAGTCTCCAAGGGATATCTTGGGATGCCACAGGGAACAGAGTCCTGCCAGCATCACCTGGTCGTCATTCACTGTGTGACTTTGGCCGCATCACACCTCTGCTGTATTTCCTCCTGGGTGAGATGGGTGGACGGTTCAGGGAAGCCCTGAAGTCCCTCTTACTCTCAGGGATCTGTGAGCAACACTTCCCGCAGGCGGCTGGACCACTGTAAATTCATGAGGTCAGTGAATGGGAGCTTCTTTGTGTTTGGATTTGCAGTGTAGGTTTGGCACAGTGGATCCCAACCAGGGGCAATTTTATCTCCCTTGCCCCCGGACATTTGGAAGTATCTGGGAATATTTTTGGTTGTCACGAGGGGGAGGGTGCTACTGGCATCTACTGGGCAGAAGCCAGGGATGCTGCTAAGCATCCTACAATGCACAGGACAAGAAGGATGACCCGGGCCGTCGTGCCAGTGGGTGAGGTTGAGAAGCCCTAGACCGGAGGAGGCTGGACGGACCATGGGCTGCAGGTGGCAGGGACTGTGCATGCCCTGGCCTTCCCTCCTCTTCAAACTCCTTTCCCCCAACAACCGGGAGCAGGTCACCAGATAAGTATGGCTGCAACAAGTCAGAGTTATTCATTTGAGAAAATAAGTCATACATGCGTTCGGTAAGAAATCCTACAAAAATGGTTCAAAGAGGCACACAGTGAAGAACTACCATCCTGCACATCCATGTATCCTGGTCTCCCAGGACCCCTGGCCCACAGGTAGCCACCCCTCACCTGTTCCTTGTGTTATGTTAATCTTTTCAGGCCAGGGTTTCTCAGTCATAGCACTAATAACATTTCAGACCAAATAATTCTGTGTTGTGGGGACTGTCCTGGGCATTGCAAGATTTTTAGCATCATCCCTGGCCTCTGTCCTCCAGATGCCAAAAGTGTCCCCAGGGGCCCTGGTTAGAACCACTGTTCTGGAGATAGCCATTGCATATTCTCACATATATGTATTCATGAAAACATGTATTTTTCTTTTGGTGCTTGGCGATATTAGATACTCATTGAGTATTTATTAAAAGAACGGGTACCTGAGAATAAAGCAGTTTAAATAATCAGTCAAATCCTGTCTTAAATGGCAGGTGACATGTACCCTAGCACAAGTACAGGATATTTTTTTCTGATTTTCATTTACCGGTTTTGCTCGAAGGAGGACCATCTTGTGATGCTCCCTAAACTCTATTTCTCTCATGGCTAAAGTCTGGGGTTTGGGGGCTGAGTCCCACACGCCTCAGCTGTCCTTTCTCGGAAGCAGCCGGGCTGCTGCAGTGACGGGGATGATGTACGCCCAGCATGTGAGGGCCTTCTTCCCCTCCCCCCACCAACAGGCTGGGAGAGGCACTAGGGATGTGCCTGGTCCTACCCCCAGGGGCCCCTCTCACTGGTCTGTCCTGCTCTGCCAACATCTGGCTTTCGTGACAAGCTGTGGCCTCGGTTCCGGAGAGTGCCCTTTCTAAGAAGGTGGGGGCATCAGTCCAGCTTGGGCAATCAGCCCAAAGTCCATTTTGTGTAATTCTGGGCGGCCTGCCCAGTTTCTTCCTGGAGTGCAGCTGGGCCTGGGACGGTCTGTGGATTTTCTGTGTTTCCTGGGGTGGAGTGGGTGGGGAGCTGGGAGCTGGGCAGGTGACCTGTGCCCGTGATGGGACCTTTGGGACCTGCTCAGGGTGGACACCCCACCCAGGGCCTGCTTGCTTATCAGTGGGCCCTAGATGGGGTGTGGATGGGGGAATGCACGGTGGTGGGTGGGGGAGGGGCAGGGCCCTGGGAAACTCCCCAGGGAACAAGGCAGATTATGGTCAAGAGTCATGGTGACAGGTGCCGCCTGGATGTGCTGGCTGGGAATTCAGCTGAGGCCAGGCTGAGGGTCCCTCTTTGTGGTGGTTTTAGGATAATCAGACTTATTCCCTGGTGGCTTATTGAGGACAAAGAGAGGTACCTTCAGAAGCTGCATGGCCCTGTCCAGCCGTGAGGTCCAACCACGAGGATGAGGTCACCCACCATGGGTTCATGCCAGAGTCTCCTAGCTGAGTCACAGAGGCCCACCAGGTTCAAGGTGGAGGACACAGGAGGGCTGTGTCATGGTCCCACTGGAGGGAAGCACATGGGATGGGATGTTGCGGCCGGTTTTAGAAAATGCCATCTGCTTTTAGAAGATGCTGTCATGGGCTCCAGCCCTGGAGGAACAGGGGAGAGCAGTGTGCTCCCTGGGTCACCGCAGCCCTCAGACCCCTTAGCTCCCCTGACGATTCTCTTTTAATCTTCTCTCCAAGCGGGGCGGGCGGGGCAGGTGGGGGAAGTATTCAGGTGCACTTGCTAGGTCTGCACCTTTAGGCCAGCAACTCTTGTCCATCCCGGAATCTCCTTCCTCTCCTTGGATCCATCCTCTTCTCC